GGATTAAATATTATGTAATAATGAACAATTTAACTTATTTATAACATATTATGAAAATTATATATAAAAGAAGCATTAAAATTGTATAAATGTGTAACATTGTGTATAACATTGAATACTTACATCAGAGTTATTTTTTTGTTCCATAATTACTTTTTTTTCAATCTTATGAACCGCAGTCTTCAGTACAAACAAAAAACTGAAAATAAAATAAATAAAATTATAAGAAAGAAACAGATTTAAATTTAATAATAATAATAAATGAATACAACATTTTATTTAGAAACTGATTGTAATAAAACTCAAATAATATGTTAAATCAAAAATTTAATTATTTACCACTTTGTATACGTATTATTATAGTCCTAACTTAATTTTTCATAATGGCTCAGATTTGTATTATTATTATAATAATAATTACAATATTACCATTAAAGAAATTACATTATTCATACATTATATTACATTGAATTGGAAATCCATATAACTTGATACGAAACTAATAGATACATTTTAAACAGTGTTGAACTGTTGAAGAATAGATATTTGTGTTGAACTATATGAATAATATTGTAACAATTTTTTTAAATAAAATCAAAATTTTGTTTCATTCTTCCAAGTATTAGGTATTTTCAAGTCCAATTTATCTAATTGTTATTTAGTAAACCAAGTACAAAAAAATCAAGAATGCTCATCGATAAATATGGTCTGCAGACATACCTAGTTCGGAGTTTCGGACTCAAGATTATTTTTTCGGTAATATTATATTATAAATTGTAATCATGAAATACCTACTATTTACTACTTAGTACAATTATGATTATGCTAAAAAGTACTAATTCTATATAATTATCCATACAATTACAATATTACTGTCACATAAAATAATTAATGTACCTTACTTGTAGTTACTCGTGTATAGAGTATTAATTACTAGTTCGTATAATCTTCAGTTGACACGTAGGTATTAATCAATAGAAACGGACTTTACTGCAGGTCTGAACTCAATGACGATAATTGGAAAATGAGTACTAAATACTAATGCAGGTATAATATATTTATATTATTATGTTGCCAAGTATTTGTTATTATACATAACACACCAATAGCAACCATTTAAATTACCTATATACAGGCCCGGCTCAAGGGGTAGGCGACATAGGCCCACGCCTAGGGCGGCACATAAGCAGCACTTTAGTAAGAGGGCGGCATTTTCAAAATACTGATAATATTATATTATTAGGGGCGGCAAAATTTGATTTCGCCTAGTTCACTATTTTCGCTTGAGCCGGTCCTGCCTATATAGGTACTGCTTAATAACAATATTATACGCTAATGCAGGCCAAGTATTAAACTATACCTAGCAATTAACAATGGTTAAAAGCTCACTGAATAGGTGCACAACTTAAGTCACCCAAATGTCTATACTATATAGTTACTATATTTAGGAACTACCACAGAACAAGAACTGCAGTTTACTATAATACTATACTTTCTCGATCAATATATAGAACACTCGTGTCTCGCTGCAGTGTATTGTGTACGCAGTACGCAGAAAACCATAAAACAACAAAGTTATAAAGGTTATATTATTATAGTTTATATCTCAGACATCCTTGCGCCGAGGTGATGTTTGGATACGGCACTGTTAAAAAGTGTGTCGTCTTAACCTGCTTAAAGTGGGCAGATTGGTCCAGATTTGTCGAACAGAAATGTGCGGTTATTAGAGTCATATAAGAAAAAATGACCACATCAAGCTTTTAAAACTTTGTAAAATAAATATTAAAATTTACCAACTTTAAAACTGAAGATGAAGTTTACAATCAAATTCATGAAGAGTTAATAAGTTTTTCAAATAACTGGGAATTTTTAAAAATGTCGATTGCAGATGAATATGAAATATTGAATTGGGAACTTAAAAATGACTAGGATGATTTGGAAGGTGTCTCTGAGAAAATAAGTGAAGTTAAGTGTAATAGTTGTAGAAACTGTTCACTGCAGTGTTGTTACGAATTACTGATAAATTATAATTTATATAGCAACGCTTATCAAGTACTAACAGTTGCTTATAAGTATTTATTGTGTCTGCCTGTTACCCAAGTTGCCTGTGAACGATATTTTTCTACTTTAAAGTATATAAAAAATCGGCTGATAAATAAACTTATCAATGAAAATACTGAAGCGTTTATGTTAATGTCAGTTGAAAAAGAAGTGTTGGTAAATATTGATAATGATCATATAATTGATTTACTGTCACAAAAAAGGAATCTTCTTTCATCATGTCTTTAAAAGTTTAAAATGTGTTAACTTATTATTTATATTTAAAGCATAAAACTAATTATATAAGCTTAATTACTCTATATTCTTTTTGGTTTGTTTATTAGGCGTAAATAAATTATGATTTGTTATATAGAATTTCAAGCATAGTATTGCTTATTTATATATTATTATAATTATGTTTAATAAATGGTTAATTTAAATTTTTTTTAATTGTTTAAAGAGAATACATAGATATAGGCGTAACTAGGCCTTTAGGCTTAGAAATTGAATTGAGATGAAGTCTCATAAAAAATATTGATACTGATTAAAAGTCTATTTATTTTTTTTATGTTCTCTTACATATAATATAAACTTAAGTCTAAAAGGTTAAGTAAATAAATAATTATAAAATAAATTTGTAGTGTTGGGGGGGGGGGGATAAAACATAACCCTTATATTATAGTAACGCCAATGCCATAAAGCGTAAACATTGAAATGTGGCCTGGTGTAATAAATTTTCCCGGCCTGAATTTTTCTCCCAGGCCGTCCCTGGCCACACAGTTATAAATTATAATCAATTATATTATCATAATGACATAATAGGTAGGTAATAAATAATTATATTATATTAATATTACATATCGATATCTACAATCTACTTAGGTACCTACTTAGTACATACATCAATATACCTACTTTACTAATATAATAGTTTTTATAATTATTTGTGTTTTGTGTTGTAATATAAGTATTAAGTACTAAGCAGATATTATTATCTAATATGCGTCAGATTTGATGTCTATATTTTTCCATAATAAAATGTAAAAAAAGGTACTTAGATCACAACAACACTGTTCGACTGTTCCATAGACATATGTCTATGGACTGTTCTATATAAAATAAAATAGTTTAGTTACTGTCTGTCTGTCTACGTAGTACTTACTATGCATTATGCAGTACAATAAGTACAAATCATAAACCCATTACAATTTAAAATTACGACTTAATTTATAAATAAAAATAATAATACTAATTAGTAATTAAAATTAAAATTATTTTATAAACTCGCTGTGGTCGTTTTAATCCCCCGTCAATTAGATCCTATTGCGTCAGTTAGTCACCGAGATCTAGCTGTCGAGGGATCTATGTGACCGTTCACCGACGTAAACGGGAGAAATGATTAGGTAGGTATAGGTTCGTTTGGGGGCGTTTGCGGGACAGTGGACTTACCGGGTTGACGACGTGCAGGAGGGTGATCGATATATAATATTATTATTATCATACTGTACCACATATGTTGGTAATATTTTCATAAAAGTATTTACTATTTATCCATATTATAATAACCGACCCGAGTGGTTTTTTTCAAATAATATACACATGATTGTTATAGTAGCATGACCATCTTCTCTACGACCCGGAACGTCGGATCATTATTTTTCCAGGCGATTTTTTTTTTTTTGCACGCACTCTTATAATAATAAGCCCCTATAGTTATTCACTTATAAATAAACTGTAATAAGTAGATAATATACCTACAAACAGACAAAAAATAAATAAAAATAAGTATAACAGGTAATATGTAGGTATAAAATTTGTGTTAAATTTGAATTCAATGATAAATCATTGCATAATACGAACCACTCAAATTATTTAAAAAGATATATTTATATTGTTACAATAGTAATTTATTTACTATTAATAATACGGTAAGTTGAATTATTTTTTTCTGAAAACATTGGATTTATTTGATATTTTAAATGCCTATCTGAAATAAATGGCTTGATAAAAGTCAAAATATTTTGAAAACTATAAATGCCATGTATAGAATTGTTAATATAATATTTACATTTGGTGAAAATTTAAATTATATACGTTATGTGTTTTAGTATTACAATAAAATAAGAAAATTATTTTGTCAAAAACTAATAAGTTTTGCATAAGCAATTTTATTTTGTTTTTCCCCAATTGTATATTTTTTGTTCTTCCAAATTATTAAGGAAAATACTGAGCGGATTTAATTTTTTTCTTCCCAAAAGTACCTACATACTACCTACATAGATATTATACTCTCCTACCAGAAAATATATTAAAGTTTCTACTACTTGTAAGTCATGTAACACACATATTATACAATAACAAACAAACACATACATTGTAAAATGAATACATTCATCAGTCCACTCAATCTAATTTAGTAAATAAATATAATGTTATTACTATTATATTTTTTTTGACTGAATGCAATTTATTGAATACGTGACATATTTGGTGTGATATCAAAAACAATGCATAGTATTATATTTCAAAATTTTACACCGGTTGATAATTATTCTCTTCGTGCATTTTAGTTAGCGAAATGAAAATAAAATTTCTATAAAAATAAACGCCACACATTAAACTCAGTATTGTTCTACTCTTCAACACCATAATTGAACTTCAGTTCATAACAATAATACGTTTAAAAAATAATAAAAACATTGAATGTAATATTGTGCAGTATAAAAAAAATCTAGTAAATATAAACGACTAAAACTATTCATATTCATACTATGTGTCTACTGTCTATATTATTGTTATTTGTTAATATAACTTGTAATAAATCTCGTCGGAGACGTGCTGAAAGTTCTCTCTAATAGTCTAATGGGTAGCAATTGTTCGACCTTAAACCTAACATATTATATTATATTTTCGGGGGACATGGTAAGAGCCCGCACGTGGCGTCCCCTGCATCGCGATATATGACTCTATACCAGGATAAAATATCGCGAACTAATCTTACCGACACCGGTGCTGGAATGTCTAGGCATTCAAAATCGAAAATGCCCTTTTTAGGGCCACCTCCGCCAGCAATTAATGTGATAACACAAAATATCGAAGGCTTTTCTGTGACTAAAGGTGAGTTTCTTGCTTCACTTTGTAAGCACAGGGGTGCGACGTATTATGTGTCCAAGAAACGCACAAGGATGAGGCTAGCGTTAGGCCAAAAATACTGGGAATGAATCTTGTCATTGAACTACCATATTCACAATATGGAAGTGCAATATATTATAAACCAGAACTGGTGGTCGAAAGCACATAATATAGTCATAGCAGTCAGATTGAGGTACTAACTATTGAGGTACGCAATCGTACAATTACTTCGGTATACAAACCACCAAACACCGCGTTCGCCTTTGAAAAACCGGATAACTTTGACAACTGTGTACAAAAATATTTTTGGGCGATTTCAATAGTCATAGTGTGGATATCAGGAAACAGATCAAAATGGAGAAATCTTTGAATCATGGGCTGAGGCTGAAGGCCTAGCTGTCTCTAGTTCACGATCCAAAACTTCCCTCATCTTTCAATAGTGGTCGGTGGAAGAAAAGTTACAACCCAGACCTAACCATAGTAAGCGATAAAATAGCCCCTCAAGCCATAAAGAACGTATGTAACCGGCCCATACCAAATACCCAACACCGAGGCTTGATATTAAGTGTCACAGAATTAGTGAGATCCCAAACCGTACCATTTAAAAGACGATTTAATTTTAGGAAAGCTAAGTGGAAAGACTTTAGGGAAACTACCTTATACGGAAACTAGAAGGTAGCAAGTGGGGTGCAACTCCAAACACGATCCTTACTACTGGACTATCACTTTGTTTCTTCGTTGATGAGTTTGCTAGACCAGCATGAAATCAATCTAAACATACAAAACATATTGACACGGCCCTTAATGAGACCTGTAGGGTAATAACCGGATGCCTTAAACCAACGCCACTTAAATATATATATGCAGGGATAGCTCCACCAAGAATACGAAGATATGTGGCCACATGCATGGAGAGATTGAGAGAACCAAACAAACAATGGACCAAAGACACCCCATGTATGGTTACTTAAGACCACAAAGGAGACTTAAATCTCGAAGAAGCTTTATTGCCAATTCGACCACTATCCAAGATTCACCGGAACAACACAGAATACGAAAATGGAGAGAAGAGCTAAAATGTGAAAAACCTGTCCCGCCTTCTGATAATTTACCGTGTGGAGGAAACCAACCATGGATTATATGGAAGACATTAAATAGGCTAAGAACTAGAATAGCTAAAACAAAAGCAAACATGATGAAATGGGGTCATGGGAATACCAGAAAGAACCAGACATACTATGCGAATGTGGCGAAGTACAATGAGATGACCACTTATGAGTGCACACTAGCCCCGCCAAGATGCACGACCGACGACTTGGATTTAGCCAACGAAAAAGCAATAGCAATGGCCACTCACTGGCTAAAACAAAATATTTAAACATTTATTTTATATTTTATATTCGTATTTTAACCTAGTTAATTTTATATTACTTTATGTAGACATTTATTTACTAATGTAATAGCATATAGCTTCCCAGCACCGGACACGATAAGAAGTAGATTATATTTTCTTAATCATTCTCTCATTACCTATAATTTTATTTATTATTCAATATTGTGTGTAAATATATCAATGAAATCACATATGTCAAATAAATCACCGCTTATGTGCGGTGTTAATATAATTTTGCATCGGTTCCTATATACATCAAACCACGATGTTAAACTGTATACAAAATAATAAAAGCTGTTAAATTAATGTAGTAGGTAAGTATATGAGTTGCAGACTTACAGTTATAAAGGCACCCATGTCCATATAATATATTATTATCATTTAGTTCAAACTTTCGGCAGAATTTAAAAAAAAAATAAAAATAATTTTCATACGGTCCGCAATATTTTTAATAGGACAAACCGCACAGTGTAGTTTTGACATAAAACTTTCCTGGCTGCCGTGTTTAAAATACTAACCACGAAAAAGCCCATCAAAACTTTCGGATGATTATATTTAAATTTACATCATCCCTGAGGAGGCCAAGCCAACAAGTATTCGGTAGTTTTTAATTCGATTACCCACTCGACGCCGCATCGAGCGTCATAGCTAAACTCACACGATAATAAATAATTACAAACGACAACATTGAAAGAACAAATTTAAAGACAATTTTTGAAGGAACAATCGGAAATGTTCCACAGAGACCGCGAGTTTCTTTAAATGCCATAAGTAGGTAGGTCGAAATATGCTTCGGACACGTTTTTTTATCGGATAGGATTATGCTAAAAGCTCAAGTGCTCGCGGTTTTTTAGGAAACGTCAAATCCGAAATCTCGTACGATGTTTGCCGGTTATTAGGTATTATAAATTCGATACAGATATTTAATACAAGACGCGGTTTTCCTGTTTTTTTTTCTGTTCGTTCCTCCAGCTACTGCACCTGCAGGCTTATGTATTATATTTCTTGCGATTACGATATAATTAATTATAACCGTATCTACCAATTAAAAAACCGTCGTTAATTTTTATTACCTTTATTTTTATCTTCAGACGTTATTTATGTTTTATTTTTCGAGTTTACGTTTACACACGATATTAACAATTTAATCTCGTTTCTAATTTTTAAACCCCCACGGTTCAACAGCGAATTCTAAGTACAGTGATGGAGATGCTCGTTTTTTAAAATTCCTCCTGCTGTTATTTTTCCAATTCCAACACTGGACTTGTGATACTACAATCATATACCTATGTAGCAACGTGTGTACGGTATACTCAATGGCGTGCTGAATGTAGGTTACTGGTTAGGTATGTATATATTAATAAATAGTGTCTAGCTAATAGTTTGAAAGTTAAGTAGGTACATAAAGTTTGTGTTGCAATAATTTGGTACCTATATAATAATATGTATCAAATTGGTGGGTAATAACTAATAAGGAACAGATTTGAATGTGAATTCCATTTTTTCTGGATGTCCGAAAACATGGCTTTTCAAGCACAAAGTTAATTTCATACATCAAGGAATTAAAAAATGTAACTTTTATTTTGCATTTTTTAAGACTATTACTTTTTAGAGCATTTTTTGACATTTAATGTTTATAAGTCATTTATATATAAGGGTGGATAAAATGTTATAAAAATGTAGTTAAAATTCTTTCTATAAAAGAATAAAATAAAATAATATTAATTTTGACTGTCGTACTTGTACTTTTATTATTTGTCATGTTTTTACCGATCAAATAAAAACGCCACCTATAATACAGTTTGTATAATTAATTTTTTTGGATATAATTTTCAGACTAAAAAGAAGATAGGAGAAGATGAATAATAAGATGATATGAATAATTAATAATAATATGAATATATATTTTAATTATTAATTAATAACAAAACAAATTTTTTCAATGTTATAAATAATTTTAAGAACATTGTTTTTATGCACTTTTTAAAAATAAATTCTGTTATGATGAGCGTATTAAATTAAGGCATTTTTCTTGTGTTATACAGCATTTAAGTCCGTTTCCTGTAGTAATAAGTTATTAAACACGAATGGGGTTGTATAATTTACTGATTACTGAGTTGGACTTGGCATTAAACATCTGTAAATCTCAAATGGACGACTTATGGAGGAACACTTGTGAGTAAAAGTAGAAAAGTGAATGTAAAAGACGAAAACAATTAAAAAGCTCAGGTATAACTGTATTAAGAAAAAACGTTCAAGGTACCGTCTCTTATACATAAAACACAATTAGTTCATTGTTGAATTTTAATTCTGTCAAAAAAGGGTAGGGTACATTTATCGTGGTGTGTATTAAAACAGGTGATTGCTTATATGTACTTATTTTATTCGTATATAAATAATATAATATATTATTTAATATAGGTCAGTGTCTCCCAAACTTTTTGCAATGGTGACCCATACATTTAATATTTATTGGGTATGCGACACTCTGAAATAATAAAAAAAAAAAATCATGTTTGCATTAAATAAATAATATTTTTACTACTACAAATTTTATCATTGCATTTTTATAAGATACAATACTTGATACATAATACATAATAAATAAATAAAATAGATTATAAAAAAACACAAAAATACTGAAATAAATACGTAATCGTAACCTCGAGTCACGACCCATATTTGGGAAACACTGATATAGGAGATAGGACTGAAGATAGAAAAATAATCTAAATTGAAAGCTATATATTATACATAAATGGAAGAAAGTATATTATATACCGTAAGGGAGGTAGGCGGTCCTGCAGTCATGAAACCCATAAAAAAAATCACTTCTTCATAAAACGTATGTACGAAATGATACATTTCAGTGAGTGTATTAGTTTATAGTAAAGTATTGAAGTAATGTTCAAAAAAAAAAAAGTGATCTGCTGTACAGTAGGTTACAAGGGGGTCACTGTATAATGGATGGTATTAATTTTGAATTCAATTATATAATATCATTGTATAAGAAAAACGATTCTGAGCGGAGACGGTATGTCAGTCTAGGTATAAGACATATTATATACTTATCTATGATATTAAAACAAAAAAATCGTACCTATAATAAATTCCAAATTAATCATATCCATTAAGTACTTATAACGCGTTATACATCATTACATCAATAAAAAACCATGATACTATTATAGATATATAATAGTGTACTTTAGAAGTTTCAAGTACCCACAAATAATATTATACAATCGCAACAAAATAACTAAAATAGTTATTCTAGGTTTTTTATTATGTAATTTCGTCCAAATTTGAACATAAAATGACTATAAAAATAAACTCTCCTTCTGTATTTTTTAGATTTTTTGGTAACAGAATTAACTACTTACGTGGAATCTTTTTTTAAATTTTCAATCCTTAGATATAAAAGTTGAACATTTTATAAATTTCTAACTACAAAATAATTATTAAATTTTAAATTTGATAAATTTTGTCAAAATTCGATCTTTAAATGCTTATAAAAAAAAAACTGTGCCTAAGGATTTCTAATATTTTTCAAATGTCAATGTAACAATATAGTTGGAGCCTTGTATTAAATTTTCAAGTATTTTTACTCAAAAAATACATTTTAATTGACATTCATAAAAAAAAACTAATAAAATTAGAAACTGAAAATGTCCCTAAACAGTTCAAAATAAATCGAAATATTTTGAAAATGTTATGGTGTATAGAAAATGCAAATATAAACAACCAGTGAAAATTTAATGTATTTACGGTAATTGGTTTTAAAGTTACACCAAAAGCCAAAATCGATTTTGTCAAAAACCGATTTTGCGAAAAATTACCGTTTTTTTCTTAATTTTTTTTTGTTTTTGAAAATTACTGAGAATTTTAAATTTTGACCTCCTCAGTACACCAACTAGATTCACAAACAAGATACTGAAGTTGAACATCGAAGCATTATTTTGACTACTTATAGTGTAGAAAGACACAAAAAAAAATAAAAAACACACATCATTGTAAAATCAATACATTCATCACTCCACTCAGAATCTAAAATTGAATAATAATATTGGATTATAAATTGGTACAAATATCAAGTCTCTGGAGCTTATGAATTTCTAAAAAAAAAAAAAACAAAAGTTATTTGGTCGAAAACTGGTAAATCATTGACACCTTAAAAGTTGTATATAGTCCGAAATAAATGGAATCCATTTAAACTTCTGGAAGGGAGGAATGATTTTGTTAATATCTTTGTAAGATTTCGAATAGGTAATCCAAAAGAATATATTTTAAGAATCATTCATTATTCAAACACAACAACATTTATGGTAAGATTTTAAGAAATTTATATTATTTAGTAGGTATCTACTTTACATTTAGTCTTGACCGATTTTTGTATATAACTATATTATGTGTTAAATATATGTGTAACCAAGCCGAATACAACAAGGTATCATAATTTTGCTAATTATTTCATCAACATGAGTAACAATAATAATTATTATACCTAATTAGAACAATATTAAGATTATAAAATGTATTATTTTATTATGCATAATGAATAATATGTTAGATTAATAATAATAATAATAATAATAATAATATACTAAAGTTATGTATGTAGTATGTATATGTATAATATTATGTACATAGTACATTATATATTTATATACAAATGTTATGTACGTATATATATATTTGAGTAATGGTCACGCAAAGTTAAGGTCGAATACATTACGAACACGTTAGATCCAAGTATACCTAACAAAAAAACTAAACCGTTGTCCGTATATTTTTGCATATTTTTAGTCAGCCGAATTTTTTTATATGTAAATACTAAATTGTATACCACACGTACATTTCCATAAGTTGAACCTACTACGAGTCTAGAGGAAATTTATTTATATTTACTGCTTAAGAGTAAAATGCATATAACATAGGTACCTACATATGAATCATGATTTAAGAATTATGATACAGAATGATGTATTATTATTTATTATCTAACATGCTACATATTTTTTTCTTGGACAATATTTTAGTGTATTAGTTGGTTTGTTTTTTTTTTTGTAAAACGTAGTATACTTTTATTTATTATAATAACCATTTTTTAAACTCAAAATGCAAATGTAGATGATGTGTGTCTAGTAAAATAATGATAATTGATAAAATAAATGAATGAAATAGATATATGAATTAGTTAATTTCATGTCACATTTTACAAGGTTTAACATTTTTGTGTCGGAATATTTAGCTATTTTTGTTTTACAATCTAAATAGTTTACTAGTTTTACTATATTTGTTTTAGTCATTACTTAGTACTTACTTATTATTTTTGTTGTTTGTATCACACTACTTGCTATTGTATTAAAGATATTATGATCTTAATCAATGTTAATAAAATATAAATATTTATATAAATATTTGGAAATTAATGGTATTTTATTTTATTAGATGTCACTAAAAAAATATGTGTGACAAAAGTCCACCTTAAAAAAATGAACCGGTGGAAAATTTTAGGAGAGAATTTGTCCTATAGAATCTTATAATTCAGGGATTATGTTATTCATACAATATATTTTGGTATAGCGTAAACATTACTTATCAGTCATAAAATATTTAATATAAGTGATAAATATATAATTACAAGTACCTACTTAACTAATTGATGGACTATAATGGTTATACAACATTGACGAAATAGGTCAATCAAATCCTCTCACTTTGTACTTCGTTGTTGAGTTGGTACACATTTTTATATCATAATCATAAATCGTTATATTTTAGGTATAATGATGTATTGATGTGTATGCTTAGTACTATGCGAAGGCTAAATTATTAATCTAGCCTTCATGGCTCAAACACATTGATTACCTAGTACTATATTTTGAATTAATTTTTTTTTTTTAATCTTCTCTCATTATATATTTCAGGGTTGGATACATACATTTTAATAATAATTTATAATAAATAATAAGTACCTACTATAGATAATATCTAACATAATATAGTGGCCAATAACAATTGCTTAATGCATAAATAAACAACCCTAATATGAACATTAGGTACATGTTTGATTTTTGATTAATTCAAATATTTGTCATATTTTATATTTTCTTACGACCATATTATAGGTGACCATTGACAATATATATAAATATTGGCACTGTACACAATTATATTTATTTTAAATATATATTTTTATAATAAGTAGGTAATAATTTAAGGTATTCGTTCAGACAAATTAATAAATATTTTTTTACATAGGTAGAGAACAATCATAATATACCTTCAACTGAAATATAAGCCCACACTATTATTCATATGGTTTAAAAGGCAAACTACCTACATAAAATATTTTTGAGGAAGAGTAAAAATTGTTATGCTTATAATAATCATACATAATCTAGGTAGGTACAATTAAAGTTTATCCAAACAAAATCACTCTAAAAACAGTAGCTTATATTTTCTAACAAGTAATATGAGCGTATAGCATTGAAAAACCAATACTTTTTTAAAAAATCTTAAGGAATTATCACAATGAATATTATAGTCAATTTATACTAAATAGTTGGTATACAAACAACTAAAAATAAAAAGCCACCGGCTGTAATACATTTTTTTCTTATGTTTACGTGAAATAAAAAATGATATTGCCTAATATTAGCAATAAATTAGTAATCGTCTTATCTTTATCGACAATATCGTAATAATAATATAGTATAATATCACATAATAAAAATGTATAGTTAATAATGATTTTGAATAGTAAAATAACTATTCAGCCGAGAATACTGTTACACATAAAATATTCTACAATAACAATATTACCGCCCAGTAGTGGCTTGTAACCTAGGGTCCAAGCGTTGCTTAAGAAGCACCTTAAATATAGGCGGGTAGGTATTGATAGAAGAAAAATAGGAAATTTTATAGGTCGGTATAACAGTATTTTGAGGGGTATATAGGTCACCTAAAATTATTTGAGCAACACCAATTTTTTTTATGATGTACACGCCACTGCCGCCCATCATCTCTGTGTCTCGAATCTCATTTATATATTTTTTCAATATACGTCGTACATACTATATGCATTCAAATTCTTTCTTGAATAATATTTAGATGTTATTATCTAATTGTATATCAGTTCTATTCTTCTTCGGATTATTAGGAGTAACGCGAGACAATTGCTTAAACTGTCCGTGCATAATCGTTGTACATGATTTTGGTGTTAGGTCCAAACCAAATTCTTTACATGTATCTTCGAAAGTGTCTTTTAACAGTGGTATTAAGCTATGATCTAAAGCTGGGAACAAATGGTGTAATGTATGGTCGCCAAATGTCGCAATTGTTATAAATATATTTTTGATCGGCTCGTTTCGTTCTGCACTGGTTTCTATTTGATGTATTCCCCAATCAATGTACTCTTCACTAGAAAAAAAAAACAAAATAGTATTGGTTTTCAAGTAAAATAAAAGTTCGTTGTTAAAATAGTACGATGTTATTATTAATTTTACTTCTGAGCAGACCTCAATTTAACCGAACAAATTACTATAATTAGGCACCAAGAAATAAAATAAATTACGACAATACATTCGTGCAATGACCAAAAAAGATAAAAAAAAAAAACTAAAGCTATTATGATTTTTATTTTTTATTTTACATGAAATGTTTTTATTATGAGAAACGAAGAACGTCGATAATCGTATTAAAATAATACATAATAATATGGTTCTTGTATAATATTGATTGTAGGTACTCTAGTCACTTGGTATCCTCTAAATATTACAAAATATTATTAGTTGTACGCAACTTGTTACACAAAAGTTAAATTCAGTTAAATTAATATAAGACGTTGTTAAATCTAAAAACCCCTATTAAATCATAATAAGACTAATTTATTTAAAAGTCATTATAGATAATATGTTGACAATTTTGAAGGTATTCGTATTTCGTAATAATAGCAGTATAAGGACACTTCAAAGTTCAAATCACCTTATATTATATCAACAAATATTATAACTACTGTAATAATAATAATAATAATTTGCATACATTATATACTGTAACGACCACTGGCCTGCAATAATGACCGTGCATTACATTGCAATAAAAATACCAGAAATATTTTTTTAATGTTTGTTGTAGGTACTTTATATTCAAAAATCAAGACTCATGAGTCATGATGTACCTCAATAATGTACATTTTTAAAGGATTAACTATGACTGCATTTTATGTAGGTACCTACCTAAATATTTTAATTACAAAAAGTATAACTTATCATAATTTATCTATAATTATGCGAGTACCCCCCATATCGAGTTTGTATAATTAATTTTCGGTAAAAATGTTTAAGTTTTTTTATAACATTATGATATTATACTATTTTAAGTTTTTGTTGTGACATATTAATATTATCAGCAAGTCCTTTATAAAGTACCTACAAAAGCTATACCTATCTAGAAGGAAGACGCATTTATCTAACGGTTTTAATTATAAATTTTTTTTTACTTGACATAGTCTCCATCGTGAAAGTTGTCCGGAAAATGATGAGAAGCACTGAACCCAATGAATGTAAACATAAAACTACTTGTCAGAACTACGACAAGCCAAGCAATAATTACAGAACTTATGGTCATTTGTCCACAAAACATCAATATTGTAGGTATAACAAACATAAGAAGATCGGCTTTGTCATTATTGCACTTGAAAGTTCTAAAACAATGTTTATGTATGTACAATGATAATTTATTCGTAACACAATTGAATTATATTTTGTATACGACATAAAATACCTAATGACCAATTGTCCAGGAATAATGAAAGGGTATATAATGGGGGTGAGGTAAGGGAATAAACGAACAGTGAATGGTTTGTCTGTAGTCGGAAACCAATGGATAAACGGATACAACAGTGACATCTCCAAGTCTTGTACAGTGTTCGTGTATATATGATGACTGAGTACATGCGATATTCTCCACTCGCTAAAATTAAAAAATAATAAAACATTACAGAACGTTAAAAATAGTTTGGCTGTATAAAAAATATATATTAGGTATATTGTTAGAATTACGACGACGGTGAACCAATTAATAATAATTGCACAACTCACCGTACAGATAATAAAACCAATTGCACGTAATACATCCTCCAGTTGTCCTTAAGGTGCGTGAAGTTGTGACTAGCAACGGTCCCGAGTGCCAAAACAATGCCGGCCAAAAGTGCTAAGAAAAAATTTTCTGTCTGAGCCACTCCAACGCACAGGGCCAGTGCGAGCAGGTAATATGTGTCGACGACCAGCATAGACTTTATATGATAATTTTTGCTGTCCACATAAGACAATTTCTTTGCGACTCTAGACTTCAACACGTTGTAAAATCCGTCTGGTTTAAACGTGAAAGGCGATTTCCTGGGCGACTCTGCCTGTCGCACATAAAATTTGTGCATCACCGCCGTTGCAGCTTTGCCATTTATATGGTACGACTCAAATAATTCTGTGATATCAGTACCCTATATTATATTGTGTTACAGAAAACAAAGGTTGAAACTATAACTCGCTGGCAATATATTTTACATAGTGATTACTCAACAAGTATAAATCATATTATATTATTTATTATAGCTTAATAAGCTTATCAATAAACCTTGGTTTCGCTGTTTCATTTAAATTCGTCACTCATTGTTATGGAATATCTATCTACTTAATCAAAATGCTTAGTTTTTGAAACATTTTATAGGGAATTATTATTTGAAAATTTGGAATTGAATTTTTTTTTTTTTCATACTTTATATAAATAATATTTATCTTTTATCCGAGTATTGTAATGCCAAATCAATTTCGAAAATCAAATCGTAAATTGTCTTAGATAAATAATATTTGTATGCCAAACAAAGTATTTACCTACTACAACTAGTTCACTGACTATATACTCTGTATTCTACTTAAATTTGAAATATTATATATTAAACACATTTTTAATATATTATGGTAAATAGTTGTGGTTAGTTAATAGTTATAGTGAGTATCTGGTTATTTGTATTTTATTTTATCATTAAATATTTTAAAATCAGAAACTATGTTTTTCGACAAATAACTATTTATCTCGAATATGCTTGAATTATATCGACTATCAAATATATTGTATGCCTAAGTGCCTAACATAATAATGTTAACAAATGGTGACTATTTTTATAATAAGAAATATTAAGAAAAATGGTATAAGGTTTAGGAAAATAATATAATCTAATGTAGGTAGGTAACGTGTTTCGGAGATATTATACTAAAAAGTACCTATCATATTAGTGATAGTATCTGTATACCCACTCTTGACGTACTTATTATTATTATTATTTATTTATATTATTGTAAAGAATTTGGTATTCTTTTCATTCATATTATTAAGTTCGAATTTTTAAGTACAATAAGGTAAATAGGTACATACTTTTGTAATTTCCAAAAACTGTGGTCCTCCGGGATGCTTGTGTATCCATTGTTCAAGGTTATACAATCCATCGTGAATTCTCCACAACTCATCTGCACCGTCTTCCTGTCTGCGTGCTTCAATCCAATCGTCGGCCGATTTTATATTGTTGTCCGTGCTCAATATACCACTCCATACTGGCCAACTACTAGTTCTCGGTGCCATAATTTAAGATCTGATTAAAATATTAAGTTTGATTTATTAATACATTCATTGTGAATAAATAACTTTTTATTTTTTTACAAGTTCTTTAATGTTTGGAGTGAATGCACACAGCAAAACAAACTAGTGTTGCCCCCCCTACACTACCATCGGGTTAACTTAAAAATATATCACACACCGTACTCTGGATATTATGATCCCTGTACTGGCTGCACTAGACGGTTCGTATTATGAGATTTGAAAATAGGTATCAACAACTTTATGAATACAATAAATATCACACTAATCTATTTATTTTTAATAATATTATAGAATACTGAAATATTATATCAGTAATTAATACTTATCTGCTGGTTAGTACCTACCTATACATTAACGGTTTGTTTACGCCGTACTGTCTATTATTTAAATGGTTTGCTTATTATTGTTTATAATTATTGTTATTGACGTTTATCAGTTTAATATTAAGTTTATTCGGTAAGTACCTACCTATAATCTGTACAGCGAGAGAACACGCCGATTCTGAGCATCCCCACTCGACACCCTGCCGTCAGATGTAGTGCCAATACTTGTTGAATATTATGGTGATTGATGACTAATTGAGGCAATAGCGTGTTGCATGAATAATATATATATTATATAACCTGCAGCCCTTAAATTAATAAAAACTCTCAACCATCCAGATATTGCAGTCTTAAATCTTAAGAGAGTAATAGGTTAGGATATGGTCCACGATATACCTCTAGAAGACATCACGTAATTATCGAACTCGAGTTTACTCTTTAAAATTAAGTTGTATTTTTTTCCGGAATTTATATTTGAAATAGTTTTAGTCACAACTTACAACAAGTTTATGTAGAAAATTAAATACTGGAAACTGGGGAGCAATAAAATATAATTTTTTGATGTTTAATAACATATATATAATATACCGGTATTTATTTTTTTTGCCCTGCAAAAGTCTGTAAGAACTATAAGCCTCAACTTCTGAGCAACTTATTCAATTCACAACTGTGAACAGTGGCGTAGTTATAATTTTGTTCTGGTAGAGGGGAGGGGGTGAATAACTTTTAAGGTAAACGGCTTAGCCTCCACAAAAATAACATAATGCTCTGTTTTTTTTTTAATACACCACTATACACAGTAAAATAATTTATATTGAATATTTTAAATTCATTTTTCTAATCTTTAATAAATATATTAAAAAAAGTCAAATACCACTCATGATTCACGACTATCGATATTTCTCAAAAACGACAAAACTTTCAAACTTGACATTTTTCATGGTGGTTTCTCTAATGCTCTATATGTCCAATAAGAAGAGATTTAAAAAATTCATATTTAAAGGATATTTAAGAAGACCTTGATTTTGATAGTTCATCAATAGTACAGTACCATTTACTTATTTGGGTCAAGGGTTATGTTTTTACAGACAGCTAACTGCTAACCACGATTAAAGGTATAATATAATATAATAATTTAATTATATCTTTAATCGTGCTGCTGACATAGCTATGGATGGTAAGTTTTAATATTATATCAAAATAAAGGTGGGCAAGTGGGTCCCGCTCTGCTGTACAGAAGTGTCAAATGGGGTCACTGTAATGGATATATTAAATTTTGATTCAATGATATAAAATCATTCTATATTATATTATAAACTATATTCTGAGTGAAGTCGATCTGTCAACCTTTATTACTAAATACTAAGTATATTTTATGATATTATTGCTATTAAAGTAATTTATTTTACTATTAGACGGTCTAATAGTAGTGCGTACCTAGTAGATTCAATACATTTTTTCCAAAAAAATGTATTTTTTCATTGTGTGTACTGTGTATACATATTATAATAATATACTTTAAAAGTGTCAAAAACATTTTCAATTTTAACTTCTTAAAAGTATAATCTAGATTCAATTGTCTATTAGAAACCATCCACAAAGTGGAAAATCGTATAAAGTAATAAAATCTGTACACAGAGTAGACACAAAAAATAATTAAAAAGACATCATGCAATATAATGATCTGATCACTCCGCTTAGAATCTTAAATCTCTGGGGGGGGGGGTCTATGGTATATCCGCATCTCATCCTCTCCCCCATAACTAAGACACTCTACTACTGTTATTACTATTATAATTATTTATTATTATTAAGGTATATTCAAAATTACTACACTATTAAAACCTAATTTCCATAATGACTGACTTAACAAAGATTTTTTAACTTCGTGCAGTCGTACCTACATATTATTATTATTATTATCTCTTAATCTACCACGTCGTGTTCATCAGTCAGTCGTGACCTTGTTACCATGGTAACCGTCAACTAAGGTTATTTTTTATTTTGCACACTTAGTTTGAGAGATTGTACAGATCATAGTATTAAATATTATGTTGTTTCTCATTGAATTTCAAAAAATCAAATAGGTAGGTACTAGGTATAGGTTCTTCACAAATATTTCGTAAAACATTTTATATGGTATATAGATTATAGATACCTAATATTGTAAATTTACTATTTTATGGTAGTGGGTAAAGTTGGACAAAAAAAAACCCGAGTATACGTTACGTACAGTGGCGCCGACTTGTTTTTCATTTGGTGGGGCAAAGTATAAAAATTATATACCACCACCACCCACCACCCACATGATTGTATTGTAAATTCAACTATCAAAAAGCAAACACTGGGGCGAATTGCCCCATAGAAATACGCGTTCGGCGCCACTGGTTACGTATGATATATATACTTTTTTAAATTGCGTTGTATTAGATACTCAACATTGATGGAAATGTTGACATATTGTTCGAGTATTTATATAAATATATATAAGGTACTATTTTTTAATAAAACAATGACAATTTTAACATATTTAATTCGGTTTAGCAACATAATAACTAATAAGTAAAAACACTTCAATGACCTAATAGCTATTGGTTATATTTATGTATAATTATAGACTCGTCCATTGCGTCGTAGGTACCTATATAGTAAGGAGTAAGTACCTAACTTATAATTCAACATGCTCCAATAATTAGGTAGGTAGGTACCTACCCATGTAGAGTGCTAGTGTGCAACCTTCTGTTTAAATATGATTAGGTAAAAACTTAGGTGTATAAAAAATAAATAATCAGCATTTAGCATCACATTGATAGGTAACGGCTATTGTATATTTTTGTTCATATCGGTACAAATTACACAAATAGTTTAGGTAGGTAAAAAATATAAATTCTTGTAATGATTAGGTATTATAGTTGGATACGTACCTACAAAACAACCCGACTGATTTTTACCAATGACTATATAGAACAATGTAGAACCTTGTAACATGTAATTAACAGAATGGAGCAGTTGAAAAAACGAGATGTAACATATTTGTTCAGTCTTGGCGATTGATAGCGATCGGTCGCAAATTAAGAAATAAGAACACGAGCTGGTCGTTCCGGGCTGTAGTTATATTATTTTAAAATTCAGTCCACCGACAACTGCGACCGATGCGTTGTCGATCGCCAAAGCCAAAAAGGTGCGATAAATGTGACAAAGTTAAAATAAAAACAAATAATACATCAAATAAAAAATGGCATACGACCAATTTTGAGTGTTTTTTAGTCTTTAAATTATTAAACCAAAGAAAAAAGAAAAAAAATCTATAATATTATGTATATATAATTATAATTATTGCCGTAAGCTCGGTTAAAAGTAACGAATCGCCGTTCGGCCCGAACAATATTAATATATTAAGTATATTGAATAATATAATTCAAATTGCCTAATGAATAGTAGTGATAGTAGTTTATGTAGGTACCTATTTTTTAATAATATTATCACCTAATGAACTTAGTAATGAACTCTAATCAACCAACTTAAGCGTAGAAACCTATGATGGGTATTTCATATACTATATACCTACACATACATATATAATGTATATTATATATTATTATCATTGGGTTATAAATATTAACATAAAGACTTGGTAATCGGATTATAATTTATAATGAAATGTAGTTGAGATTAATGTTTTATCAATCATAATGATATTAATACCTAGGTACATATTTTTCCATGAAAACTCTTCACGGCTATGTAGTCTATTACATAATTGTTACTTGATACTTCCGAAGTCCAACTAATTTGTGATTTGGGACAAGGATGCTAAAAAAAAATATAAACATACCAATTATATTGAAATTCAAGTTGCATTCACTCATTTACATATTATAATTTACAATAATACGACGGTATACGCCTACTAAACGTTATAGATATTGATACCTATTCAAACTTATTATATGGATAACGATTAACGACAAAATAATATTGAATCATTAAATAGGTAGGTACTTGCTTGTCGTATTTTTTTTTTCAAATTTTCAATGTCACCCAGACACCGAGTTTCATCCAACGTATAACACAAAACGTCATGATAAATATTATAATAATATATAATTATATATTCTTTATATATAATAAGTATAAGCTTTAATATTCCTATACCGAAAATATATTATTACTACTTTAAAGGTAGAATAGTTATTACTTATTTGGTACAACTCAATAGTTGGTCAGCTACTCAGCTGTACTTTCTATACCTACCTACTAATGTTATAGACACCTAATCAAATTTAGTAAATATTAAGTTTTTCTAGGTTAACCACTGATAGCGAGTATATTAATATTAGTCTTTCTAACAAAATTAAATTCAATATTAATTGAGTAGAACCAATACAACAAATTATAAATAATCAGTCTTGTGAAGTATTCGAATACAAGTATTTGAATACTTTTTGAAGTATTTATATGGTATTCTAAATACAATTTTTTTAATGTATTTTTAAGTATTTTGAATACTATTTAAAAGTATTTTTAACAACATTTAAATACTTGTATTAAAATACCATAAAGTCAATTTTATTAACTTTAATTCATAGGTTTTCACGACAAATTGACATCAATAATAGTAAAATTGTTTTCGTTGAAAACTAATATTATCTATGTTTT